CGAGGCCCTGGGGAGCACATATGCCAGAGTGGGGTTCTCCCAGGAGGGTGCCAGCTGGTACATCAAGGTAACCCTTAGGTGCTCACATCAGCGGGTCAATGCCAGCCACCTCCTCAGGTGAACCCTCCAACCTTCTTCGTGGGGGAGGTAGTTTGGCTGTCAGAGCTCTGGGAACCAGGGAGGAAAGAGGCCCAAAGAGCCTCACTGTTGAACATGTGGCCCTTCACTCAGTCCTTGTACCCACTTGAAATGCATCTAGGATCTTCAGGTCTTGATGCCCCGCCCACGGTGCCCAAGGAGCTGGAGGAGAGTAATCACTGGCTGAGCCAGGATCAGGGGATCAGTACCTCCACAATGGCTTTGCTTTCTGCACTGCTTGTCTTTCACGGGTCCTGGTTCCATGAACCAGAGCCTTTCTGCAATTCCGGGGCAGCTGCAGCCCACTTCCCGAGTCCCGTCCAGAGGCTCCAGGCTACTCGGCTCTTCAGTCCGTCACCACTCACCAGTCCACTTCCATCTTCCAAACTGTTCCTACCACGTCTCACCTACTGCTATTTCCTCTTTCATCTTGGTGGATTTCTGAACAGTAACTTTCAACTTTATCACCACTTTAGTGAGATTCTGCTAATGATATATGACTGCTCAATACACTGTGCTCAATGGAAGTTCTGTATCAAAACTATTTCGATATCATTATCTCAGTTTGATATTTCAGCTGTGTTGTACCCAAATTACCTGTAGAATAACTATCTTAATAATAAGCCATATGACTAAGCAGACTACCTAAGTTGCTTCTGAAAAGTTTCTTTTATAATGATACCTCATCCTTTTATATGCTAAACAGGCAAAGAATTTCAGAATGATTAGTGTATAGGTACATTTTAAATATCTCATACTTGTTATTTCTATTATTTGTATTTAGAGAAGCGAGTTAACTACAATTCAAAATTTCTAGTGATTCTGTGAGCAAGAATGCCTTTTAGGTGACCCTTTAAAAATAAAAATAAAACAAACAAAACACCTCTTTTTGTTAATAACGCCACCAAAAATTCTTACTATTTTATGACAATAGGTCATTTGTAGTCATGCAGGTTGCAAGTGGTAGACAAAAATTCAAGCTTAGGTATTCAAGAACTTTTCATAACAACCCAAATTGTATTTCTATTAATAATTCTGAATTAACATATTCCTGCTGGCTTGAAACACCAGAGGGACATGCATGACTGTTCCAGCATGGATTGTACTACCTCAAGGAACTGTCTCACGCCACCGGATGGAACAGTCATACATGGGTTCAGAGCCACCCAGCAGCAAGACACAGGAATTACAATGGCTCCGTCATGAACATATTAAATCAGTAATAATCATTTTAGGGTGAAAATATGACTTCAATTTAAAATCCATGTCTAATGTCTTACTAGATAAATAAGATATGCTTTGGCATTTCTGGGTATTTATTTTATGAAGACACTATGAATATTAACAAATACCTACATGCGTAATTTTTTTCAGATGGAGTCTCAAAAAGTCAGTGATAATACTAGGCAATTTAAATTTTTTACCCTTAAAATTCAGCACTGAAATTGGTAGGGTTAAAAAACCAAATCATGAGGACAGTCGACATTCATTTCCTGCTCACCTTGAGAAGTAGACCACTTAGAAATGTGGGCCTATCAGAGTGAGACAGTTACTTTTACTCACCTACAGATTTCAAGCTCCTGATTATAAGCCAGTAGTCTTCAACGAGTATACTATTTTCCAGACATATTTCAAAGTAACAGGCATTATCAATAAACCTGTCACAGTTAAGATCATTAAAAAGATCCACTAAGGTAATTTTCATTTTATAGCATATAAATTATAATGCATTAATTAAAATGGATCTAGGTCACTAGGTGACAGTACTGTCATGACATGACAAAATTGTACAGCTCTAAATCCCACTGATTTCATTTCCTTTTTTTTTTTTTTATCGGTACCGGGGATCGAACTCATGACTGCCTGCTTGCAAGGCAGGCGCTTATGCTGCAGAGCTAAATCCCCAGCCCCCTGATTTCATTTCTACCTCATCAAAATCTGAGATTTGGTTGAATGAATTAAAATGTTATATTTTTGTATTCAAGAAGCTAGAAAACACACCTGGCATTAAACAGCGTACCTTATGGATGTTCTTAATAGCTGCACACTGAATAACCTAAGTCACCCAGTGCTGGCTGTGACTGGTAGAGTACTGACTAGGTGCCAGGCGATACTCCAAGGCCCTTACTAACTCCATCACAGGACAATCCTACAGGTATTACTACTGTCCTCAACTTGCAGATGTAAATCATACTCTAGGGTCACAACCTGCACACAAGCTGTCCAACAAACTTCCTTCCAAAATTCTCAGTCTTCCTGTCATGTTCCTCAGAAGCTTGCTGCATAACAAACACACTTCCATTACTTAACTTCAACAGCAGAATATCTGCCTGACTTTTACCTTAAAACTGGAGATTAGCCTAGCCACCTTCTTGCAGGAAAGGTGGAATTTCTGATCTCCCACAGGCTGGTCTGGAAATCCTCTAGGTGACAAGGATCACCCACTCATTCCACAGTCCTTCCATTCTGAATGCTGCCACCCAGCCTCCTGCCATCTCCACGAGCCAAGAAAATTGGCAGAAACCTACTCCAGAAGGACTCACTTGCACACAAACCGTGTGAACAATCTGACCTCGGGCATCCCAAGCTCTTCACAAGCCCGTCTACAGAGAGCCCGCACAGTCCGAGGAACGCAGATCATCAGCCATCCAGAGAGAGTCACGTGGAAAGCCTGTGTCCGGCAATAGCACTGGACTAGATCTCAACTTGGCTACCTAGTGACAGAGGGCAACAGTCTGCTTTTTGTTGTTGATGTTCCTGGACACTGAACCCAGTGCCTCTGCACTGAGCTACTTCCTTAGTTCTCTATTCAATTTTCTGCTTTTCATTTTTTTGAGACAGGGACTCCCTACACAGCCCAGGCTGATATCAAACTTGCAGTGATCTTCCTGCCTCAGCCTCCCCAGTGCTGGGATTACAGACATGTGCCACTATGTCTAGCTTATTTCTAAAGTTTTGAGACACTGTCTCCCTACATCATTAAGTTGTCCAGGCTGGACTTGGACTGGTTATCTTTCTGCCTCAACTCCAGGGTACTGGGATTACAAGCACATACCCCGCTAGTGGTTTGTATTTTAAACTATTGCCCCAGGTGGTTCCTTTTTTTTTTTTTTCATCCCCCAAATCCATTTTATTTCAAGGAGAAAAAGAGAAAAAAGAAAAAAAAAGACTAAAACAAAATTTCAAAACATATCAATCAGGGGGCAACAATGGCACATACACTGCACACTGTCATCCCTAAATCATTCACCCAGAGAATAAGACATCTGCATTCAACTGTCCCAACAATATTAGCACAAATCTTTCTCTTTAGTGAACTCAGAGAAATCAGTGGTAAAACTATCTTAACTATCTTTTGTATACACATACATACAGGTTGTTTCTTTCTGTTTCTCACACTGAAACACTACAATGTTTACATATGTGTCTTATTTCACTAATGAGTAGGTCTCAAGTTGTATCCACGTGCCTGTAAGTCTCCTTTGCCCTTATTTATGGCTGAGTAGTATTCCACTGAATAAAAACACCACATCTTTTTTATCCATTCCTTAGTTGATAGACATTTAGGCTGTTTCCAAGATCTAGCTACTTATTTGGGCTGCTATAAACATGGGTGCACATGTATCACTGTGGTGTGATTCTTTTAATTCTTTCGGGAAGACATCCAGAAGGGGAAGAGCTGGGTTGAATGGAACCTCTAGCCCACCCTAGGTGATTGCTATGGTTCCTTATCAACTCCCCAAGCTGAATATAATTACTGTGTATCACAAAAATATTAACAAAAATTTTTTAAAAGAAAAGATGCACCCCTAAGAATCTGAAGAATTTTTCTCCTAAAACTCTTAGGAAATGCTTCTGACTCACCCTGAAGCATAATTTTAGGAAACTTCTAACAGCAATGTGTAACGTTTTTCACATCCTGTGTGTCAGTGACGAGCCCCTCCTATCCACAACAGCGGCTCAGTCCTCAACTTGGAACTATTCAACGCACTGATAACTCAAAGAGCAGCAGCATGCTCTGTCAACCTCTCCATCTCCGTCCACCAAAACTACCTTCAGCCTCTGTCAGCCTCCAGCACAGCCAGCTGGTCCCATGCCCCCTCACCAGCACCACAGACACACCTGCTATGGTGTCCAAGGCTTCCCAACTTCTAGCCCTGCCAGTGATGGCGGTGGTGGGGCCAGGAGGGCACACTTGGATTAGCTAGTTACTAACCTCAAACTTCTCTTCCATCTCCAGTTCAGGCTGGCCTGGGATAATCACCATTACTACTAATACCCACAGAGCACTAGAATTAGATGACAATCACCCATTCAACCCTCACAACTCCATAAGACCAGTACATTATTATTCTCATGATAAAACAATGACATTGAGGCCAAGAGAGATTAATCTGCCATAAGTCCCATTGCTAGTACATGACAACCCATCCAACCTCTCTCCACAGTGTAGTCGTGCAGACTTGTAATCCCAGCACTTGGGAAGCTGAGGCAGGAGGACTGTTTGGCAATTCAAGGGCAGTCTGAACTACATAGTGAAAACCTGTCTCAAACTAACAGCCCAAAACAAAGGAGCTCAGTCACTTGCCTTTGGGGAAAAACTAGGCACAGGCAGCTAGTCAGAACCTTCACCTTTTGTTCTGCTCCCTCCCACCTTTGTGACAGAGATGCCTATCTCCATCCTTGGCTTTTTACAACTTATCCCTATAAAATGGCCATGGTCAGCCATTTAAAGAAAAGTTCTAGAAATCTCAATAATGAGCTTTACAGGTTGAAACCTCAGTATTTTCTAAAGAATAGAATGTAAAAGCAGTGTGGAAAACTTTGAAGCTGAAAAGGAATACTCCAATTTTTAAACTTACCTCTTACTTTTCTTATAATTCTCTAGGTGCTGGGACTGCACACGTTTGCATCTTTCTAACTCACACTGCCCACACAAATCCTCCAGATGAAGCAGGTGATTTTCTACCTCCTCAAAACTGGCCTCTAGATGAGCTAAAAGTACATAAGACAAAAAGAAGAAACATGTAAAGAATCAGAATTGCTGATCATGAAGAAAGTGTCAAAAAGTCAAAAGTTTAAATCATTGAGATTGTTTTGCATTTGCTTAATAATCTTCATTAAACTTTCCTGAAGTAACATTAAAGGACACTTCAAAACTATTTTTTTCAGTATGTTTCAACTGTTTTCAAAACATACAGGTTATTTTCCAGAATACTTAAAATACTTTATTAACCAGGATGATGAAGAAGTAAACTATTGTGATTAATCTTATATGTATCTTAATGATCCTGTACATCATATGTGAATAAACAATTTTCACACCCTGAGAACCCAGCAAAATATAATTAACACAAATTATACCAACATAATTTAATATTTATGACTTCAAGTACTTCGGCATTTGTCTTGCCTCTGGCATATTGCAGACATAAATCTCTCAGGCACAGGAGCTATGTACAAATACTTGGGAGGCCCGGCTGCCAGGCTTGTCAGTGGATGGGCAGCGCCCCAGTGCTGCCTGCTGGGTGACTCATCTTTCATTACACTACAGAGCTCTACAGGTTTACTGAATATGAAGATCATCTGGCTAAATCCTTCACTGAAAAGACACAAGACCAAAGGCTGGAGAAACTAATTCAGCACCTCACCAAAGCCACAGAGCTAAGACCCAGCTGGGCTCCAAACCCAGTTTCTTCCATTACTATGATTCCCAGAGCACAGGATGCTAAGTGAACAGAAGTCACAGGTGTGGAGGCAAGGACTACATAGAAAAGTTTAGAGGTCAAAGATTTTAGATGGCCTCATGACTATTTACAGGACACCAACTGACACCTACTCATCACAGAGACACAGGTGAGATGACAGACTTGTGTTGGGCGCAGGCGCTCAACATACCATACCCCACCAGGGACTAAGGATCACGCCAGCTTCCGCAATGCGCTACGTCCCTCTTTAAATTAGCCAACCCGTGCGCACCTTGTGCTCACTCCGTATTCACCCTTGCCGACTCTGTGGCAACTCCCGATTGGCCACAGCTGGATATAGTAGCCAGAGCCTGCGTCCCATTCCCGCCCTGCTTCCTCGTGACAGCCTGTGATTGGTCACGGCCAAATATATAAACCAGAGCCCGCGTAAATAAAGCAGCAGTTAACTGTCGCCCACAAGAGCATCTCCTGTCTCACTGGGGGGCTGCACCGGTCAGACTTGGTGTTCATGATGCCTACGGTAGAGGGAAGCAAATGCCAGGGGCAACCTCGCTGGAGAGCAGAAGGCAAGAGCTCACAAGAATGGTATCTAACATTCAGGTTGAGCTCGGCAGGGACAGTTCCCAAGTTGGGAAGTGACAATGAGTCCCTCACCATTAACTTCAAGAACAAGCCCAGAGATGAGTTACAAGTATGAATTTGTTGGGGGAAACATGAAAATACTATTGATATTTTGATCTGTCAGACCCATAGTTTGTTGGCCAACAAAATTTTAATCATTACTGATCAACAAAATTTGTATTGCATTGTAGTGTGTTGTACTGTATTGTATTGTATTGGAGATGGGTTAAGATAGGGTCTCACTATGTAGCCCAGAATGGCCTCCAACTTGTAGTAATCTTTTTGCCTCAGCCTCTGGAGTGCTGGGATTGCAGGCATGCTCTACCATACCCAACACAGATCAACAAAATATTTGGTTTTAAATGACATTTATAAAATTTCATCTTTAAAGAAAACTGGAAATACCCTGGGGAAGGCAGATCTATGACAAGTTGGTTGTGCAGCCCTGTAGTCAGGGGCTTGCTTACCTACAGCAGCTACCACGCGATTCCTCCATTTACATACAATTTCACAGGACTTTCTCAAGTAGCTCTTGTAGCATTGGTTAAGGGAAAAATTTTCAACTTTCATCCTGCAGTGCTAGATAGTAAGATGCAAACTTTGCCTGTTTTTAATTCATCTTTCTTGGATCTAGAAATACAAATTCTGATATCCTAAATTTTGACTCTACTAAGTATCTGGGCTTACAAAAACTCCCTCTTCTATTTGACAGGACCAAAAAGCATAAAGACATGAGTTTTGGAATAAATGAAATTTTTACTGAATAATGCAAATGAGAGGATAAGGAGTTTAGCAATTCTTTTTAAAGACATTTCAGGTGCTCACTTTTATCATACCAATTTATCACTGCAAAAGACTGGGATGTCTGGAAAAAGCTGATCGTCACACAGCTCATAGTTGTTTTGACTCTGTCATTGGGGACACATAAAAAAACTAATATATGAGATTACAGAATGTCTACGTAAAGCACTGAGTAAAAACTTAAATTTTAATCAATGAATAATTATATCTAAGGTTTTAAAAAAAATTTTAAATGGTAAAGAATTTATGCAAAGAAAAAGGCAAAATGGTGTTATACTAATTGCATTTACACATTTAAAAATTTTTATTAAGTAGAAGAATGACTAGGAGAGTTAGCCTGGGAGCTAGTGCAATAGTACCAATACTGAAGGGGCAATACTCTGGTCATTCTGTTGTATCTAGTTTGATAAGGTCTTAAAATGTACAGGCCTATCATAGCTAATAACATTGTTTAAAAGGAGATTTTAGGGCTGAGGAGGTAGCTCAGTGGTACAGCACTTGCCTGGAAAGCACAAGGCCCTGGGTTCAATTCCTGGTACAAATAAATAAATAAATAAATAAAAACAAAAGGAGATATCACTTTGCTTAGTGACACAAAGTAGAGTTACATTCTATACACTTGACCCTGAGTGACCTGGTTCCTTGATACCAAACACACTCTTGCCATTTGGAGAACTGGTCTAAGTTCACAAACCCACAAGAGATGTGATGTGGCATCTCATCTGTGAAAGGGGCTAACAATACACACCTTCCAAAGTTATCAGAAGGATTAAGTGAATTAAAGTACCTAAATTTAGCACTGACAGAAATTAAATAACTATACAAACATGCATACAGAGACAATAAGGATTAGCTAAATTTTATAAAAGTCACTTCAAACTTGTACCCTTGTTGACCAATGTAATGAACACAAGATCTATGGATCACAGTATCAGTAACATTTTCCTTTTTCCTGATACACTCATATACAGTACCTATAAATCTTTTTGTGATGTATCTTCTTAGATTGAAGATCCCCTGGATGTAAGGGGAATTAGATTTCAAATGATTTTTTAAAAGAAAATAAGTAATGGAGTCATAACTACTCTATTTAGATAATTATGTTCTTTTTATGTCTTTAATTTTTATTTGGACAGATGGCAATTTCCATTTAGATTCTGGCACTGTTGGCTGACTACAGAGCTAATGGGGCCAGGAGCTTGAATGAAGTCGATCCTCACGCAGGCCAATTCATTTCTCATGGACTGAATTCTGTTCTACGTACAAACTTTGCTTGGTGTGCCAATCACTGTTGTTAATGACAGGGGAACCAGGTGTGAGTGGTTTAGTACCAACCTGGAATTCTTAATGAAAAGGAAAAAAAAGAAACACCCTTCTGAATAGGCTCACAGGATCCTTTTTTTTCCCCCCTGAATGGCGAATTTGAGGATACCTAGTGTAGTCTGTGGTCACTTAATTATTTTGTCACCAGATTCATATTTATATTCTCCCCTTTAAACAAATTGTAAAGGCTCCCAAGTCTTCTCAGGAGCAAGTTAAACCCCTTAGCTCAGCACTCATGGAGCCTATCACTCTCTGGTCACAGGCACTGTAACAATCCCACCACTGCTGTCCTTCATGCACTCCACTTCTCAGCCAAGCAGACCCACTCGCCATTCCAGGAAGGACCCCCAATCCTGCCTTCCTGCTTCACCTGTTTTTGAAGTGCACCCTTTGCACCCCCATCTGCACCCCTGGGCCTGGGGCTGTGCTAGCCCTGCCTCCAGCACACAGGCTCTCTCCCCACTGTGGGAGCTTCTCTCTGACATCACATGACCATCTGTGTCCTGTCATGTTAGGAATAAGTACAGGACTTAAGGGTAAATACTGTATTTGCACAGTTTTAGGTCTTAATAGCTAGTCTGCTGAATTCCATTAAGAACGACTTGTGGTAAAATGACTCTATTACTCTATAACATAAAAAAAATTTAAGAGTCAATAAATCTATGATTCATGTTCATCTAACTTAAATATTAACAGCTTATGCTAAATTTTGTAAAATAATACAAACATGAGCAGGGAACTTAGAAAACATGATGATACTTTATTAGTAGTGCATTTGTGAAACCAGGCCACATTATCAGTGAGTTAAAGCACTGATAATTTTCCACTTTAACTCTTAAGAAGTTTGAAACCAGTAACAAAATACCGAATTATATTTAAATACAAGTTTTCATCTGCTGGAGAGCGCTGAAGCTGAAGACACATGCAGGGCTGTGGTGTGGCCCAGGCATGATTAAACTGAGAATGAGGAGACAGCTTAAGGACAACATAGGCAACAGCTGAGGCCACCAGGAGACTTTTGGATAGTTTTTCCTTAATTATCATTGTCTGATGCTCTGAGGGAGTACCTGAATCCTTTCCAAGATCCTGTTCAGGTTTCCTCCACTGTCCACTCAACTCCCCGCTTGTTCTGATTAAATACAGGCTGCCTTGCGTCAGTTGGCTGGCCAGCTAGCAGAGTTATGAGCTCTGCTGAGGATTTCAGTCCTCCTGCAGCCCTAAAGATCATGCTGTTTGTCTCATTCCTTTGCGCCTTCGCTGTGCATGTTTGGGGGAATGGGACTCTAGGCACAGACACCGACATTCACCCATTTTATATTAAAATCTTTAAAACTCTTAAATTATTACAACCACATACATATGTATTCCAAGTATTTATACTGAATTTAAACTGGCTGAAAATGTTCCTTTCACAACCTGCACTCACTTCGTATAGGAAAACCAGCATATCTGTGTAAATTTGGTAGCCAACTTAGAATTCATGTACGTTAAACATCAACAGGCCTCCATATACAAACACACCTTTACAAGGACCTCAAGCCACACACTTCGCTCGCTACAACAGCAGCATATGTCTTGGTTTAGTGATCAGTGGAAAAGGTGGGTGGAATTTTACTGTGACAAGCCACTTGGGAATACCTGACAGCTGTGCAGAAAAGTGCTCCACAAATCTTTGTGAGAAGATTGTCCCCAGAGGAAGAACAATTCTGCTTGGAATTTTTCTTTGTGCCATTTGTTTTAAATACCTATTATCTGTAGTGCAGCTAATGATATATGAAGAATGAAAGAGCACACTAAAATTATTTTACACCTAATAAATTATTTTCTAATGAAGTAATTAGCCTCACTGAACAAAGAAATCTTTGGCTATGAACCCATAGGTCACATAAGTAAGCTAATAAAGATCACAAGATTCTTCAAATGCTTACATTACACTTTTAAATACTAAGATAACAAGCACATAGTGGTAATAAGAAAATTTTAATAGAAGCATTAACTTGCAAAAACCATTATGGAACAAATGAGATATATGTAGTAGACTAAAAGATGTGTAAAGAGAGTCAGTGTCCTCTTTAAAGGATCTACTCTCAGAAAGTAACCTGACAATAAGATAATCTAGTTCATCAAATAACAGCTGTGCCAGTTGCCCTATTAGATGTCCTCTTACATTTTGTACTGAAGAATGCAAAATAATGATGTATTAGGCAGGTCAGATCAAAAGGAAGACACAACTCAGTATATATCTGCCATTCTCTGACATCAGTATATTACCTAAGATCTAGAATTTTCTATTTTAGAGGAAGACATGATCATATAAAATAGGTTACACAAAATAAATTAACAGAAAATTGAAAGACAAGCCCTTGATGGTTTAAGCTTCAAGAAAGGAATAGTATTAGATCACCCTCTAGTGGAAATTCAACATAATTCAATAAATACAGTGCTTTCCAAAAATGTTTTCCTAACTTTATTATAAAATGCACACAGTGGTTATTTCAAGAATAAGAAAGTATATAGAATCTGGATAAAAAAGGCTGCATTTCTTCCTTACACATTGTCTTTCAATGCACAGACACCTACACTGTTCACCTCACTATATTTTCATGTTGTGGTTTGCATTCCAAACTGCTCTGTAGCACAAGCTAAACTGTAAAACATCCATCCATCCATACTCCACTGTTACAGAAAATGGCTTTATAAATCTACAAAGGCTAGAGATGCTTACTAGCCTGTCAGCATGCAGATGATTTATACCAGCCCGGTCGACTGAGGAGCTAAGAACAGCACCCGGCCCACAGCAGACATCTGCCCACAGCAGACATACCTGGCACTCTGTTAAGTGCTCTGCATTTGTCTTAGTTACTTTTCTCATCGCTGAGACAAAATACTGAGACTGAGGCAGTAATCATTCATCCTTAATCCCAGCATCACACACTCCAGATCCAGCCAACTCTGAAAAAGCTCCACCTATGACCATATGAGGCTTTGAGGAGACATCTAGACCCAACCCGTAACAGCCTTCGTCACTCATTAATCCTCTAGTTACCTTAGGAGGCAGGTCATTGTCTCAGTGGACTGGTTTCAAGACTCCTGAGGAAACCTAAATCCTTGGATGCTCAAGTCTCTTACATAAAATGGTTCAATATCTGCATATAACCTATACTCATACTCTTATGTACTTTAAATCATCTCTAGATTACTTACATTAACACAATACAAAAATTATGTATACAGATTTTATACTGCATTGGATACAGAATGACAAGGAAAAAAATCTGTACATGTTCAATGCAGGCACAATTTTTATAGTGAATATTTTCTACATGCAGTTGGCTTGAATTTGCACATGATGAACCTGCAGATATAAAAGGCCAGCTGTGCTCTGACCCTCATTTTGCAGATGAGGAAACTAAATCTTGGAGCAGTGAAGGAAATTGAATGGGCCTCAGAACAGGGAATTTTTTTTAATTTTAAAAAGCAAAACAGAAAAAAAGGATAGAAATGATACAGAATTTCAAAAAAGAAAAAAAAGTAGGGAATTAACAGTAGTTAATATACTGCGTATTGTTATCTCAGAACTAGTTGTTCAGGGAAGTGCTGGAATGAAAAACAATCCCAGATCTCTGAGTTCCTAACTTTGTTTCCTAGTTTCTCACATACCTTTATTATTCTTTCTTTCTTAAGTAACAAGACTTATCAGTAAATAAGTATCAGTTAAATAGGCTTTTTTATAAGCTGGATGGATCACATCTATAAAAAAAATCAATATGAACAGATCGGCCATTGTTACTTAACAATTCCTCAGGGGCTAAGTAACCAGGAGACATATTTATTAAGCTACAGGACAGGACAACCAAATGCATCATCAAAAGTCTGAATTGCTCACATAATATAAATCTCTTGCTCTTCAATAAGGACAGACCCTCCCGAGAGTAAGCAGTAAGCAGTTGGGAAAATGGAGCGATTGAGTGGATACCATATCAACTCTGACAAGAGTGTAAAAAATTCAAAATTAAGGTCAGTTACTATTTTTTTAAAGTTGCTTCTATTTTGTATTTTTTTTATTTTTTAAGACTTATAAAATTATGTCCAAGTATTTACATATGTAATTATTTACAGGTGATGACAGGATATTTAGGTTACGGAAAGGAAAATTTTAAATAGCATATGAACTTTTAAAACACTAAATGTTTCCTATCCAAATGTGTTGCAAAACTTATTAAAGCAACACCTTTTGGAACACATCCTACAGCTAGGACACAGTCATGCTCATTTTATTTTCTACACTTATACTTTCAAACTAAAAAACCTAATGTCACAAAGAATCCTGGATCATTTTACCAATAAACAAAAATTGTTTCCTGAGATGAACTGTGATAGAAAACCGTATCTTTCAGAAATATTTCTATACTTTAAAACTACTTCCTGTCTAATCCTTAATCAGACTATAATACTAACTACAATTCACTATTTTCCAAAAAAGCCAGTTAACCAAGAATTTAACGAATTCTTAGAAAGCTCTGAAATTAGACCAAGTCCCGTGGACACTGGTCGCATTCCTAAAAAAGTGATTTATAACTACAAACACCAAACTTACCCAGATTTGCTGTCACAGATTCCAAGTCTGCTATTAAACCTGGAAGCTGCTGCAGCTGCTCCTGCAACTCGATCAGGCTCGTCTTCTTCTTCTCCCAGTGCACAGACAGCATAACCACCTCACTATCCACCAGCTGCAACACAGACCCCAGAGTAAAGAGGGAAAAACCTTAGGTACAAAGGAATGACAGTCAGCAGGATGAGATCTGGGCCTTGTGGTCTTTAAAAATCCTCCACTGAGTACAGAAGTTGCTTTCTTTTTTAGAAAGGAACCAACTAAATATTCAATACAGAAAACCTCAAATTATTGCTTATATCAGTGCATCTTACCCCACAGAACAGTCTGAAAATGACCTCACAAATTATTTCTAAGTATACCCTGCTTTTAAGGAAATCATTCATTAGAAAACCCAAACCTAGAAAAAAACCAAAAAACTACCACTAACAATCAGAGAGAAAATAAAAACAAATCCAATACTTAATTAACAGACAACTATTTACTTTACAAAAGGAATTCTTAGAAAAGTTCTCTAGTACATTTTGAATGTACTTTGATAAATTTACAATTTTTTTTTGGTACCAGAAATCGAACTCAGGAACATTTTTCAAATAAAGATAAATGGCTCTGTGCATTGAAGAATTACTGGAGTTAATGGTTAATTCCAGAAAGAGCAAAGGATTAAGTTAACAAAGGAGGAACTGAGATGTAAAAAGTCATAATAATAGAGTTGAGATACCAGATTAGCCTAAGATAATTCTTTTCCTGAAGACTGAAGAAAATAACAGGCATCAGTTTCTTTCAGACAATTTCGATGTTAACATGATAGGAGAAGAAAGGACCTACATAGAATAAGATGTAGAAGGAGCAGGAAAGGTCAATGACCAAACAATAAATAAGAATTGGGAGAAACAGCCATATCCTAGGTGATAAAAATAAATGTTGCAAAATCCACTGTATAACAGAAGGAAACACATTTGAGTTTTATATTCAAAATCAGTGAGTTCAAAGATAATTAAAAAACAACATATACTTCACAAGACTAGCATTCCTTAAGAGTTAAAATCTGAGCACAACTGACTAAATATCAAGAAAATAGAAATTTAGAGACATGAATACATCAAAATAAGATAGGAAGGGGACTGGGGATTTAGCTCAGCGGCATGAGCGCCTGCCTGGTAAGCGCTAGGTCATGAGTTCAATCCCTGGTACAAAAAAAAAAGGGCGGGGGGAGTTATTTGTATGTGGTGCTAGTGTTTTGTTGCTGTATTTTAATATTGCAGGATTCTACAACTGGAATAAAGACTTCAGCTGTAACATAAATCGTACTGTTCTTCAGACAGCACTGAACGATAAATATACAATCTCAGGTTCAGTCCCAATCTGACCCCATACTTTACAGAGGTTTTTGTTTTTTTTTTAAATTTTATTTATTTATTTATTTTTTTTGAGATAGCGTCTTGCTATGTCTTCAACCTTGTAGGTTCAACCAACCATGGTGCACGGACAGAGCTGAGGCAGGAAGATCTCTGCAAGTTCAAAACCAGCCTACAGAGTGAACTCAAGGCCAGCCTAAACTACAGAAAGAGACTTTGTCTCAAAAAGACCAAAACCAACACAAACTTGTGGGCTCACAGGATCCACCTGCCTTGGCCTCCTGTGTAGCTGGGATCATCCGTGTGTGCACCATCCCAAGCTTCATTGGTATTATGTACCTGCAGGTGCCTAATGTCAATACGTCTTCATAAAAATTTCTGAAAATAGCTTTAAGAATACTGAATGGATATTCAAGTGTTAAAACTTAACAGCTGGGCTGGGGGTTTAGCTCAGTGGTAGAATACTTGCTTAGCAGGGGAGAGGCCCTGGGTTCACAATCCCTGACACTGCAAAATAAATAAATAAAGCAAGCTTGATGATCCTTTCCACAAAACCGAACATTATATTCTGAATATAGAATAAAAGCTACTTTTTATAGGGTTCTTGTGAGGAGACAAAGAACATTTGAGAGTACATTAAAATATTTAGTTTGAAAGAATGAGGTTGTGTAGGCTCTTTAAAATAATTATCAATAGTAATATGATAATCCACATTTTGATTTTTTTGTATGTGCCAGGTCCTGTGCTAAGCAATTTGCACACATTATCTCATTTTAACCACACAGCAACCCTGTAAGCCAACAATATTACCCTTTCCAACTTACAAATGAAAAACAGATTTCACGAAGCTAAATCTCTTTCCGGACCGTAGACCTATATTCAATTTTAACGAATTGGACAATAACCCAATTCCTTTAATTAACATACTGGGAGTTGTGCTACTGGGGCATGTGAAAGGAAGAAAATTGACAATCTAACAAAAGAAAGTATTCTGAAGCTTTACTGTGATCTACTCATTTTATTATTTTGCAATTTTTAATTTAGTGATAAAAAAATCTATCTCTAGAAGTTCAATTTTTTCACCTCTAAGTAAACAGCTCTAAATAAACCTAGTTTCAATACCAGGAAAACAAATTTAAGCAGCACAACAAAGACAGAGTACTTCATTCCTAACTCCCTTTCAGTGCACTGAGGTGAGGAGAAGGCTGCAGCAGGAAGTATCAGCACTTGACACTGGGTAACACTGGCACCTTACTGTGTAAGTTATTTCTGTATCTCAGTTGTCCCCTAAATGTCTACTTGTTAAAGGCCTGGTCCCCACATGGGGGTGCTCCTGGGAGGTGGGGGGAGCTTTAAGAGGTAGGGCTTACTGGCAGGAAGTGAGGTTATGGGTGAGGGGGGTTGCCCTTGAAGAGGCACCTAGCCTTTTTCCCTTCTTTGACACTCTTGCTGGCTTTGCATGAGCTATACCCCCAGTCCTTTTTGTTTGTTTTTTATTTGGCGACAGGGTATCATTAAGTTGTCCAGGCTGGACTTCAACATGCCCTCTTCCTTTCTCAGTTTCCAACAGTGCTGGGATTACAGGTGTGACCACCCTGCCTGGAGCCCCTTCTCTCTCTTTTGTATTCCAGCTGCCAGGAGATGAGCAAACCCTGTTGCCACATGCTTCTCACCAGGCAGCCATGTACTAAAACCCTGAGCCAAAATGAATCCTTCCTCCTTATAAATTAATTCTGCCACAGAAATGAAAATCTAACATAATACAACATCCCACAGTTCAGAGTTGGTGGTGGTTATTTCACTTGATTTCTGAATAACTTAGGTCAGGAGAATAAGTGGCCTTATGCCATGTTACAGATGAGGAAACAGAGAGAGATGAAGATATTCATCCCAAGATCAAAACATTATTATTGCAGCAAAAATGAGAAGGTTTCCAGCATCCACTTCAGTTCACTTTTCACCCCATTCAGAGGAAATCCACCTGAACACAGAGAAGCGAAACAGTCTGATTCAACTCAGACTCAGTATCTCAGTTGAGATACTGTCTCAGTTCTAGGTCTCCATACTAAGCATTTGTTTTAAAGGGCACTACTATTAAATAATTTCTTAAACAAGACTGAAATCGTCCATAAATGTATTTGACTGGCAGGCAAATAAGTTAAATTATTTATGTTAATAAATTTAAGAATTTATAATAGCTTCATCATGCACCACATGAGTGGATCCAGTCTGCCTTACTACCAGAAACTGACACTCTTCACTTTACAGGGATTTCTGAGAAACATGCTAGTGTCTAAATTTCATCATATACATTCCTGTGCTCTATACAGGCATTACAGCTTCCACTAGTTCTGGTAGATGGTAAAGAAAGTCTAACCATCTAAAAGAATCATAAAAATGTCTAAAAGAAAGGGATTTTCATTGACATCAAAAGCACAGAATATTTGATCTTGGGTAATAAAGCTTGAAGTGTCAGCTTTAAGACAACAGCTAGTAGCTAGAACATTTTGATTTGAGATAACAAAAATGACCTAAATTTGACTGGGTTATAGATGTGCAACTCTATCAATGTGCTAAAATTTGCTGAATTATACATTTTAAAGTTTGTAAATTGTGTGGTATGCAAATTTAATAAAATTATTTCATTTTTTTAAAAAATAAAGCTTTAAATGTGTGTACCAAATAATTTTAATTACAAGTTCCTTTTCATTATACACTCATTATATACTCAAACATAATGCCAAAACAAGCTGAGCATTCAGGTCACTAAAAGTTTTTTTTGTTTTTTTGGTTTTTTTTTTTGCTAAGCAAATTAACACTTTTAAATAGACTAAGGAAGGCTAAGCTTTTGTCCAAATAATAAGGAACTCTAGGGCCAGGCATGGTGTACATGCCTGTAATACCAGCATTCTTAGGCTAAAGCAGGATGATCACAACTTCACGTAGTGATTTTGGAAGACCCTGTCTCAAAATTTAAAAATTAACTGCTAAAGGCCCTGGGTTCAATCCTTAGTACTACCAACATGACACAAAGGAATTCTTTTTTTTTTTTTAATGTGGTACCAGGGATCAAACTCACAACCTTGCGTTTGCCAGGCAGGAGTTTATGCCACCGAGTTAAATATAATGCCAAACATAATGCCAAAACAAGCTGAGCATTCAGGTCACTAAAAGTTTTTTTTGTTTTTTTGGTTTTTTTTTTTGCTAAGCAAATTAACACTTTTAAATAGACTAAGGAAGGCTAAGCTTTTGTCCAAATAATAAGGAACTCTAGGGCCAGGCATGGTGTACATGCCTGTAATACCAGCATTCTTAGGCTAAAGCAGGATGATCACAACTTCACGTAGTGATTTTGGAAGACCCTGTCTCAAAATTTAAAAATTAACTGCTAAAGGCCCTGGGTTCAATCCTTAGTACTACCAACATGACACAAAGGAATTCTTTTTTTTTTTTTAATGTGGTACCAGGGATCAAACTCACAACCTTGCGTTTGCCAGGCAGGAGTTTATGCCACCGAGTTAAATACCTGGCTCCAAAGGGGAATTCTTAAAGAGTAGGTAGAATGGGATTATGTCTTATAATTTACATATATTACAAAATATCAAACTCCAATATAAAGCATTATACCTAGATGAATCAAATATTTACCTAAATAAGTTATGAGTATTCCAGCTCAATTAAACTACATTATCCAACCAAGTAATTGAAGAAACTAGCTTTATTCAAGGAGTTTCATAATTAATTACTAAATTCTAGATATCTTGTAAAATTACAAACTTTTAAAGGACAAGCTAGCATTTAACATTCAAAAAGGAAATTGTATCACAGGTACAAGATTAGACCACCAATTACCTCTCCAGCATTGGCACATTCTTTGGCTCGTCTGTGAAGTGCAGCCCAGGTATCTTCATATCTAAGGAAACCAAAAAATAATTCAAAATGCAAACATACATCAAAAAAGAAATGTAACCGAAGGATGAATCCTGCCAGGTGTGATGGTGCATGTCTGTACTCCCAGCACTCAGGAGGCTGAAACAAGAATACTATTTCGAGTTTGAGACCAGCCTGGGCTAAACAGTGAGTTCAAGGCCAAGCTGAGCTACAGAGGAAGACCCTGTGTCAAAAAAAGGAAAAAGACAAATCTAGAAAATACTGTGGTTCCAGAAAGAAGCAGCTCAAAACATGGGAACGTGTTATAAAAACACAAAAGTCAACTTGCAGGGACTCCCAGTGGTCAAACATGAGACAATCTGAGCAACAAAATAATGATAGTAAAGGACTTATACCTCAGAACTCATAACCATTAACAGTGATAAATAATTAAGTAAACAAATGGAAGAGGAAAAACTTTACAACTCCACTTAGTAATTTTACAAGACATGATGAAAAGTGAAATATCATCATTTGGCAAACACAACAGAAAAAACTGTCACAGGAAAGAAACCTAACAGATAGGGGCTGGGGATTTAGCTCAGCGGCATAAGCGCCTGCCTTGCAAACTCATGGTCCTGAGTTCAATCTTAGGTACCGATTAAAAAAATAATAATAAAAAAATAAATCTAATGGATGTAAAATTAGTGCATAAGAGTATGATGAGAAACAGGGTATCTACATACAGCATTCTCAAAGTATCTCCCCACAGGATATTCATTAAATAAAATGTGGAAAAGAGTCAATAGTTAAGAAACCTGGCAGTTACTTTAACCAAGTGATCAAAATCAAAATCAACAGTAATGAGACATGTTAACGTCACATCCCTCCCATTATGATATGGTGGAAAAAGGACACAAAATTTCAACTGTGGTATTCTCTGCAAAAAGGCACCAATTTGAATTTAATCATTAGGAAAGAGGGGACCTATATTGACAGATATTTTGCAAAATAACCCACCAGTACTCTTCAAAAGTGTCAAAGACTCATAACTGTTTCAGACTGATGCAGATGAAGGAGACATGGTGACTAAACACAATGTGTGGTTTTGAATTGGACCTTCGTCCATAAAAAAGAATTTCAATGAGACAAATGATGAAATCTGAATAAGAATTGCAGTGAAGTTTTTACTTGGAATTAAATGTTCATTTCCTGGGTTTGGCTGAGTATGGAGGCACACTCCTCTAATCCCAGCCTAGGGAAGATGAGGCAGGAGGATTTCCATGAATTCTAAACCAGCCTGGGTTGCACATTCAGTTTAAGGCCAGGCTGAACTACACAGTGAGACCCTGTCTCAAAAAACTAAAAAAAAAAATTTTTTTTTAATTTCCTAGTTTTGGTTAGGGAAGCTGGAATTCTTGTTTGTTCTATTTTTGCAACTTCTCTGTGAAATGTTATTATCTCAAAATGAAAAGTTAAATAACAGAATTTCTGAACTATTATCCACGTAATTATAAAATTTAATTTTTCATCTTTTTAAAAGTCTAGCTATCTAAATGATAGTTCTCTAAATAGGAATACACATTTGATAAATTTATACTACCTCCCTCTGTTGCCATAATGAGATTTTCCTGTTGAGTTTAAATAGGAATCTCAATTGACAATCCCAACAGACTACTGCCACCATCTACATGTCATAAAATGTAAGATGGAAGGTCATGCAATCCAGTCTTACTGTCACTGTCAACTAACAGCAAAAATGCTCTCTAGTGTATCAGAGGGAGCAAGCATCAACTGAAACTGCAAATACAGTGGCCCATGGCCCCTGAACTCAATTCATTCCCAAGAGCTGGTTGTAACTCAAGTTGTCATTTGGGGGCTCAGGCTCCTCAACACAGCCTTCAGTCTCTCTCCTGTATACAGACAGATCTTGGTGTCCTGAGAAATACACTGGCCCAGGATTTCTCAACCCCATACTGTTGGGCGCAGGCGCTCAACATACCATACCCCAGCCGGGACTAAGGACCATGCCAGCTTCCGCAATCCACTACGTTCCTCTTTAAATTAGCCAACCCGTGCGCACCCCGTGCTCACTCTGTACTCTGTGGCAACTCCTGATTGGCCACAGCTGGATATAATAGCCAGAGCCTACATCCCATTCCCGCCCTGCTTCCTTGTGGCAGCCTGTGATTGGTCACGGCCAAATATATAAACCAGAGCCCGCGTAAATAAACGAGCAGTTAACTGTCGTCCACAAAAGCGTCTCCTGTCTCCTGTTTCATTGGAGCTGCGCAGGTCAACTGGTGGCCCGTACGGGGAGCCCGGAACGCTGAGCCCTCTCTCTCCAACAGTACGGGAACGAACCTCTCTCTCCGACGGAACAGAGCCGTCAACAGGTAAAATCGTCAAGCGCCAATAGCGGGGGCTACTTGGCGGGTGAGGGCTGACAGGTTAAACTGCTCAACGTTGGTAGCGGGTGCTACGCAACAGGGCCGGATAGCGGGGGCTATTGGGCAACCTTGGGCGGACGCGTTGCAAGGGTCAGGAACTCGTAAAGAGAGTTCCGGGGGCCGTAAAGAGGCCAGTTTTGGGGGCGCCGTAAAGGGGCGCGGGGACTAAGCTGTCCCTGTTACAAAAAAAAAAAAAAAAAAAAAAGGAAAAAGAAAAAAAAAATAAAAATAAAAAGAAACTCTTGAAATTCCGGTTAACATGGGTAACACCGCTACTCAGCCACTGTCAGTCGCCTTAAGCGACTTACTGAGAGAAAAGGGATTGCAAATGAAACGAGAACAAATTCAAAACTTTCTCGATCAGGTCGATAAGGTAGCACCTTGGTTTGGTCCCACAGGGTCCATTACCATCCCCAGCTGGGATAAATTAGGGAGAGATCTTGACTTTGCAGCAGAAAATGGCCTCCTGGAGCCAGGAGTCAGACCCCTTTGGGCCGTAGTGAGAAGCTGCCTCGCAGACACCTCTTGTCGTGACCATATAAGGGCTGGCGCCATGGCGCTTGATTACCATCAGGCAGAATCCTCCCGCGAGCAATCTCGCGAGTCCAGTGCCGCAGGCGAGGTGACCCCACCCAACCCAGACTCCTCAGATAATGAGGGGGAGGAAGGAGAAGAATACAAAATGGCGGATGCAGACACCACCGAAAGAGGGGAAGTCACACACACGCAGTCGAGAGGGCCCTACTCTGAGGCCATAAATAAGCTGCAACGCAGGATTTCTCAGAGTAAATGGGTCAATGAAAGCGAGTATGGGAACCCAGGGCCACCCCGCATAAGACCTACGGCTCTACCTCCCGACCGCCAGATTATCATGCCCACCAGAGACCCTGCCATCAGCTATGTAGCTGTCCGCAACGGGTCCAGACGTCCCCTGGGACATTCCAGGAAGACCTTTGGCATCAAGTCAAAAGAGAGGACCCAGGAGGCCTGGGCCGTTTTCTCCAGGCTTTTCCGGTTGCTGTAGATGCTCAGGGAAACAGAGCCCACCTGCCTATAGATATGAAGGCGATAAAGCATCTTAAGGAGGCCAGCACCATGTACGGTGTTAACGGGGCGTATACCCTGTCCCTAGTAGAAGCCCTGGCAGGAAACGCCATGACACCTGCTGATTGGGCCAGTTTGTGCAAGGCAGTGCTCAGCCCAGGCCAATATCTTGATTGGAAAGCTTGGAATGTTGAACTTGTCACAGAACAGGCCCAAGCTAATGCCCAGAACAATCAGGCCGCCTGGAACGCGGATATGTTATTAGGACAAGGGCAGTATCTCAATAACCAGCTGATATTTCCACAAGAGGTATATGCACAGATAAATAAAATAGCCATACAAGCATGGAAACGGGTCTCGGCTAGGGGAGAAGTCTCAGGCCACTTAACAAAAATTTTGCAGGGCCCGAGCGAGCCTTTTTCAGATTTTGTGGCCCGCATGATAGAGGTGGCAGGGAAAATTTTTGGGGACGCGGAGACAGCCATGCCACTCATTAAGCAGCTCACAGCTGCTCTGGGTCAGCACCAGGTGTAGTTCGTTAACTTGGCAGGAGTCGGAGCTTGCCATTGTTGACGGCCCCTACCACGAGACAAAGCAGAAGCCGCATCCAAACTTATTCAAGAGCAATTAAAGTTAGGCCATATCAAACCCTCAAGTCTATTCTGTTTAAACAAAAGGAGGTATTGCCCAGGGCATGACACCTAGGGCCAGACTAAATCTTGCCCTCTTCACTTACAATTTTGTAAACATCAACCCACAAGGATCCACGCCAGCACAGCTACATGCCAACCCTGTCGCACCCAAACATGGTTGGGTACGCTGGAAAGACCTCCTGCATGGGGTGTGGAGAGGCCCCAGCCCAGTACTTAGTTGGGCGAGAGGGGCGGTCTGTGTCTTCCCGCAGGAAGAAGGCAGCGAACCTGTCTGGGTCCCGGAACGCCTGATACGTCCCTGCAAACCACCAGACCCCGACCCAGAGGAAACGTCAACCACAGAACAAGGGAACCAATAGGAGCCTCACAAGCCAGACCAAGCAAGTATACCCACAACTCCCATTAACCATGGCACCTTGGCCAACTCCCCTGGTTAGTAGCCTCCTTTTCCCTTCCTTCTTGCATCTCGTACGGTCCTTGCAGCCAATGACTTTTCTAAATTGCTCCACCGCAACCTGTTATATGTTACAATGTTGGGGTTAACAGTACACTTTCAGCTGTTGTTATGCAGGTACTCCAGTTCGCACCGATTCCAGTTATGGCGGACTCAGACGAGTTTCCTGTGATCCAGCTCAGGCCAACTCTCCAATTGGCTTTCATAAAGGAATGGGCAGGAATAGGGGCTCTGGCTACCATGACTACACTTGCCGCATTCGGCAGTCTACTTCTGCTCTGTCGGATTCGCAGACAAAGGAATAGGGACAAAGTATCAAACAAGCATTGCTGATCATGGAATCTGGTCAAAGCCCGGCAGCATGGCTCGCCATGCTGTGACGCAGGTGTGGAGCAAAGCATCGCAGGGGGTGTCGTCCTTGGCCAGGAGACACCCCGGTCCC